CTCATTACGGTGGCGGCGGTGCGCGGAGGAATGCACCGCACCGCTCCGAGCGCGAGCACGGCGCACACGAGTATCCGGACAGAAATGAAATGACCCGTACTTGACGTCCTTCAAGGGTCGATAACATACTACTTGTTTTTGTGGAAAGGTTTTAAATTCAATGAATTCAGTTCTTACCAGTCCATTAAAAAGCTTATTATCTTGTATGATTATCACGATGTTTTTAAATATGGAATAAGCATTATACTTTTTGTTAGGCCTAAGACACAAGACACCGGCATTCACATGGTGTTACTGTAGTTACCTATTACTTTAGTGCGCAAAGCATGCTGCTAAGAGAGTATCAGAATCTGGCAATCACCTGAGCATGGGTGTTGGGTGGTTCTACTTCAAGAATCAAGATTACCTTCCGTATATCAAGTTCTACCTGAGCAGCACAACACAAACTTTATACGTCTTTGCGCTAAAAGAATCATCCAAAGTTTTTTCACCCATATCACTCTTCGGGGGAGGGGACGAAAATCTTCAGATGAAGTGGGACTGCCCATATTGTTGTGGCAAGCAAAGATGGCACACTTCATTGCCCCGAAAACCCGTCAGTCACCGTGCACAATCTCAGCAACAAGGCAGTCCACCCGAGCAGCGCAGTGAAGAGAGCAGCAGCGGCTCGTCAAACTCCCCTCCCGCCACCGGTGTTGAGTGGTCGAAATCTGGGGCGCGCGCCACTAACGGCCGTCAGATAATGGAGCCCGGATTTTTTCCCGGCCAGGGTCGATTTGCCGACGCTATATACCAATTCAGCCGCGGCTCGTAAAGCCCAATAAAGCTCGTTTATGACCCGGTAGCGAAGGCCGTCCAGGTCAAAAGCACATTCAGAGCATCCAAGAGGGTAATCGTACCCGAACGACCAAGACCACCTTTGATTTCTCTAGTCCCTGCTTGCTAGACAAGTTTTCGCTGCTGTTTTTGTCAATTTCATTTCCTGCGAAGCAGATGATATATGGAAGCATATCAAACATTTAGGACAATTTTGTGTCCGGCGAATGACTCAATTTGGAGCAAAACTGAAATGGATTTAATTACATCAACAAAACAAAATTTTAAGCACGTCATGGTTAAGTGTAACCATGACAAAAGAGCAGACTGATTCAAGGAGCAGTATATTTCTGGTCTTCGGGTACTTTTAGAACAAATGGGTGGTCCAGATCGGTCTCGCCTGTAGCAGTAAGTACAGCCAAGAATAGTACAGCTGTCGCTAACGTCCGACCTACGCCGAACAAATGTTTTACAACACGGGCACCACTTAAAATAACCAGTCTACCGAAGCAGGAGGGCCAGTCAAAACATCACACAAACCACGGGCACGTTTGCGGCGACCGCCTCCCGCGGCGGCGGCGGTCGGGACCGAGGCCGGGCGTGGTCGTGTTGCCAGCTCGTGCCCTGCCCCTCCCCGTGGGGCGGCCTCGGCTACCTGGCCACGTGGGGTCGCCGTCGGCTCTGGTGGGACCGCCGCGCCGGCCGGTATCGGCCGGTTTTGTCCGCTCGCGGCGCCCGCGGCGCGTCAGAGACATTTCCGGAGGTTCCGCCGCGCCGGTGTGACCAGCTGATGACCAACATCAAGAGCGATTCATTAGCGGCCCGTGCCAGGAGTCTGCCAGGCGCCTGGGGCGCGCTGGGACACAATCAGAAAAGTCCGACGTCAGCGCAGCCGGATTGTGGATCGGCCACCGGAGGTTACCGACGCGCGCTGAGCCAGAGATAACGAGAGGTTGGACGGCCTCAGCGAGCTAGCGAGACAGCTTCTGGCCGTGGATGTCGTACCAACTCGCTGCGAGCCTCAGGTCGGCCGAGCGATGTCAGACCTATTCAGGTCACCATCTCGTGCTCAATGACGCCGATCAATAACGATCAATAGAGATTATCGTCCAAATGAAGATCACCTAGAAAAGCTCGCCCATCGCGAAAAGGAAGCCCTACCAATCTCCTCCAAAGCTCCTGCTAAAGACTGGTCCAATCCCTGGCTTCGATATCAGTGCGGGGTGCATCGTTTGTCACTTCTGCACTCCATTCAAAAGCTTGTCGTCGGTAAAACGATCCTCGTTTAACGTTTGTAGAGTGATCGGTCAAGCCATTAGCTCCAAACGAGTCCCGTCCGGCCGGAAGAGACCGCAGTCGCCCGCCTGGCGGCGTTAGCCTGAACGTGCCGGCCCCGTGGGAGCGCGCGGGTTGTGACCGACCGTCGGCCGCCGACCGGGCTGACCGAGCAGCGCGGTCATGGTGACCGTGAGTGGCGTGCGGAGGCCGGCCCGCGCCCCCCCCCCCCCCCTCCTTCCCCGGTACACACGGGAGCCACAGGAGCCGCAGCCGGATCGAGCCGGATCGTGCAGCGCCGGACTCCAGCCGCCGCGCCGGGAGCCGAGCCGACCCGACCGCGTGCCGCCCGCTCGGCTTGGCACCCACCAGAGTTCGTTAGTGACGTTGGCAGCCGACTCTCGCTCCCGAACTCTCCTCCCTCTCTCTGTCTCTTCCTCTCTCCCTCTCTCCTCCAGCCGGCCGGAGATGAGCAGCCAAAGGGAAACCAGCGTCGTTCGCTCCCGGGACGCCCCATTGTGCCCTTCGTACCGAACTGGTTCGGCACCCCAGCCGAGGACAAAAAGCACCGGAATCCGCCACCCTACCCAGACCCGGCGAGGGACTCACCAGGACATACATCAGTCTGGGAGGGACCGACCGGCCGCGCCTCGGCGGTACGGTCTCCCCGGTCAAAGACGAGCAAAATCGGGCAGCAGGGTACCCAGCAGAGACGAGTCCAAGGGTACGGCGGAATGTCACCAAACGAGGCGGGAACGTTCCGGCGAATGGAGCCCTTAGAGACCGACAAAACCTGGCAGCTTAGTCTCAACGTTGGGTTGGATTAGCCAGTACCCAGCCAATGAACAATGAATGGCATGTAATGAATGAATGAATGAATGAATGAACTTATGAATGAATGAGTGAATGAATGAATGAATGAATTAATTAATGAATGAATTAATGTATGAATAAAAAACGGACGTAATTCCGGCACCGTTAAATAAACCAGAATTAGCCATTAGCAGGAATTTGGCCAGACTTCGCCCAAAATGTGAACCACTTGTAGACTCCTCAGCTACTCATGCAAAATTACAATACTTCATACCATAGGCGCGGGAACCCATGGGTGGGGGCAGCTCCCCCCCCCCTCCCCCCCAACTCTAGGGCTGTGTGGGCGGTACCCCCACAACTTTGAGACGAAATACCGCACTTTTTTGCAAATGTCTTCTTTTTTTGTAGAAAAAGCCAAGGGGTGAAAAATAAGTGGCCTAAAACCGGTGAGAACCTAAATTTGGGGGTACTCTAGTTGATCTCTATCATGGTGTGTCCCCCCCCCCGTCTGGAAGTAGTTCCCGCGCCCCTGTTTCATACAAAGTAAATCTAGCGACTTAAATATAAACCACAAATACAAGAGCCACCGTTATACAAGTCTAAAAAAAAAAATATTCCTTCCTATCATTTGGTCATCAAATCAAGCGTATGGTTCTGTGGGCAAATGCCTATAAACTATACCTCAAAATGCATTAGTAAGCAACAGAGATACGAAATCACTTATTCGCCTCCGGAAATATAAAAAAAAAATACTTTAACTGTATAATCTTAGGAGCATTAGTCGTTCAATAAAATATCAAAAACGGCAAATATAAAACAAAATAATCTACCAATGTGTGAGACTGGACCGTTAATAGCAACATCCCAAAAGAAATCAGTCGGCAAGACGCTCGGTCTGAAAGCGCAGGAGTCCATCGGAGCCAGCGTCTATAGGGGCACGGTGACTACAATCGCACCCACCCCAAGCAGGTGGCTCGGGAAACGCGGAACGGCCATACATCTCCCGTCAATGGCGACTGACAAAAGGCGGCATTCCGGAAAGAAGACTTTTTTTGTCAAATCACTATTGTGACACACTGTTACAACTATAATAAAGGCAGGATTTTTTTTTCGTTGCATTTAAGTGCGGTTTGAATAAATTCTTAGGGGAAAATAAATTTGTCATGAAAGAATAAAATAACTCCTTTAATATACCTATGCAGCATGCATGGCCAGAAAAATAATACCTTTCAAATTGGCATATGCTTGAAAAGCAAAAACAACAGCAAAAATAACAGATTATATCCGCACCTAATATTGTCCAGAAATTAATTTCGGTGGCTACATTGAGCGAAATAATATGGTATCAAAGAGCAAAATAAAATATCCATAAAACCATCTATGAATTTAATAGACGGAAGGCTTTAAAATAATTTGAAATGGATGGTGAAATCAAACACATTGACACTGACGTTTTCAAAAAATATTTTATTAAACCCTCAGCTTTGCATAGTGGAAATAAAACTGAATGCAAAAAAGCTGAAAATGAAAATGAAAGAGAATTACGGCGTAGGAATGCAACTGCAACACAGCAAAAACAAAGCGGCAGCAAAAGTTATAATAAGAACAGGGCTTCGAGATCAAAGTGGAGATATTAGGCACCCTTTCCAGTACAATGTATTCATATTCATAATAGTATTCATATAATATTAAACATGTAATTACAGGTAAATGGTATATGGGTAAATGATAAATGGTAGCTAAGCAATACTTTTGCGAACAGAGCCGTTCCTTGGGTGAACTTCCTTTCGCGCAAGTTTTTTTTTTTATTCGTAGCTTTCACGGCTCTTTACTGGTTGATATTCGCCTCTCAACCAATGGTTATGCACTAATACAAAGAAAACTATTGCGTAATAAGAAGGACAAAGTCTGTCGAATTTTGGAACCCGTGTTCAAAACGATACCTTCTGTGCGCGATGCTGTTTTGACTGAGGCTTTTGAAATGTATTTTATTTGTTATGTTCGGACACCCCTAAAATTTCAAAGTGGCAAAACTTCAAGAAGGAAATAACTTTCATGATTTAGCCACATCAGTGCCGGATTGCCGGCGTTCTCACCTTTTTGATAAAGTCTCCCTCTCGGATCTGCTCGAGCGTGGGCCTCAGCTGGTGATCGGCCACCGAGCCGATGTTACGGAAGTGGTTCTCGCTCGGCAGTCGGTCGCCGCTCAGGTAGTTTTGGTAGGTGCGCAGGTAATAGGTGTCGTAGAGGGACGGCCGGCCCAGTGAGTTGTTGTAGTTGGGGGAGAGCCCTCCGGGCGCCTCTGACTGGCCGCCGGCCTCTGAGTTGTGCTCCATCTCTGCACCCGTCACCGGACTGAACAAGTGACCGACAGTCGCCCGACAATGTCCAACGGCCACAGACCAAAATGACCGGGCCGACCACAATATATGCCTTCCTGATTTGTAAAAACGCTCTTAATAGATAAGATATGGAGTGGCGTTGGCCCAGAGGAGGTGATTGCAGCACCTGTAGTGCGCCGAGACAGATAGCGTGTCAAAGCACTCAGTCTCGATAGCGTATCGACATTTTCAAACATAACTTTGTTAAATAAATCGTGATAATCGCTTTAACAACGCAGCACTCAAAGCGAAGCAGGGATTTAAATTCGATTTGGATGACCATTTGATGGTATGATGAACAGCCGAAAGCCGTATAACTCTTTGAACACATCGTAATTAAAACTCGACCCATCCGCCAAACTCAGAGTTTGAAATTTGGAAGTCTAATCAATAATTAAATTAGGATTTTAAAATAACAAATGAAAAGCTTACCGTTCGTGAACTAAAAATGTCATTTTGATTTTCAATTACCATTTTCGCACCACCCTAGTTTTAAACGTTCTGTCCCACGTGATATATTCCAACCCATGCACAATCTATATTATAAATCCTAAATAATCCGCCGCCGCCGCCGTGTGCGACGTAGTCACTTTGTAGCGCTTATTGCGGCGGCGTCCGTTGACCTACGGCCGTGAAATTTTACAGCGATGTGGGCCACCTTTACACGTAGGTCGTATTAACTTTTGGACATGATGCGGCCGGGGGTGCGCCCGCGGCGCGTGCTCGCGTGCCCATAGGGTTAACATTAGAATCGGCAAAAACACGCTATTGCTCGGGAACGGTAAGGGCTACGGGGGTGAAATTTTCACTGCAAGTCGGACGCGTGCACTCATTTGTCGTATTAAATTTTCGAGGGGGTTGGTTCAGCGGTGTGCACGTGGTGGGGCCGCGACCGGCGCCGAGCAGAGTGCACGTGCTTTAGGGCTTAAGGCCTGGCTACACTGTGCGTTTTCTGCGTGCGTTTTTTGCGGGTTTGCGTTTTTCGCGTAATATCATTATAGCAAAAAGTTATCAACAATAAATGTTTTACATTAGTTGTAAACAAAAGCTCATATAACGCTTATATTAATTGATATAATAGGTAAAAAACATCACAAAAACGTAATATCGTTCTTTTTCTAGAACGAAATTAGGCAAAACACGCAAACACGCAAAAAACGCATGCAGAAAACGCATAGTGTAGCCAGGCCTATAGGCTCAGTTGCTCGCTTGCAAAACTGAGTGGGCCGGCAGGTCATTGACCTTTGACAACGAAGGCCGACACAAGGCACCGCTCGCCAAGAGGATTCGTCAGTAAATACAATTAATTTGTTTTTGCAATATCTCAGCCGTTTCTGGGCCGATTTAGCTGAAACTTGGACTGTCGGTGGTAGTGTAGGGTAGGATAGGGTAGGGTAGGGTAGGGTAGGGTAGAGTAGGGAATTGTAGGGTAGGGGTAGGGTAGGGTAGGGTAGGGTAGGGTAGTGTAGAGGTAGGGTGGGGTAGGGTAGTGTAGGGTAGGGGTAGGGTAGGGTAGGGTAGGGTAGGGTAAGGGTAGGGTAGGGTAGTGAGGGTAGGGTAGGGTATGGTAGGGTAGGTTAGGGTAGGGTAGGGTAGGGTAGGGTAGGGTAGGGTAAGGTAGGGTATGGTATGGTGGGGTAGGGTAGGGTAGGGTAGGGTAGGGTAGGGTAGGGTAGGGTAAGTTAGGAGTAGGGTAGGGTAGGGTAGGAGTAGGTGTAGGGGTAGGTAGGGTAGGGTAAGGTAGGGTAGTGTAAGGGGGAAGGGTAGGGTAGTGTAACGGTAGGGTAGGGTAGGGTAGGGTATGGTAGGGTAGGGTAGGGTAGGGTAGGGTAGGGTAGTGTAGGGGTAGGGTAGGGTAGGGTAGGGTACAGTAGGGTAGGGGTAGGGGTAGGGTAGGGTAGGGTAGGGTAGGGTAGGGTAGGGTAGTGTAAGGGTAGGATAGGGTAGGGTAGGGTATGGTAAGGTAGGGTAGTGTAGGGGTAGAGGTAGGGGCAGGGTAGGGTAGGGTAGGGGTAGGGTAGGGTAGGGTAGGGTAGGGGTAGGGTAGGTTAGGGGTAGGGGTAGGGTAGGGTAGGGTAGGGTAGGGTAGGGTTGAATTGAGTAACATCCTAACTTATTAAGGGCTCTAACAACTCGCATGCATCACCATCATACTTTATAGTTCAATTAAAAGCAGTTACCCAGTTCTACACAAATAATACCAATAAAAATGCAAGTTTCTACACCCAAACTAATGCATCCGTTTATCATACATATCAAAACATACAGTTATCGCGTAAACCTGTACCTCTAGTCTATATTATAAATCCTAAATAATCCGCCGCCGCCGCCGCCGTGTGCGACGTAGTCACTTTGTAGCGCTTATTGCGGCGGCGTCTGTTGACCTATGGCCGTGAAATTTTACAGCAATGTGGGCCACCTTTACACGTAGCTCGTATTAAATTTTGGACATGATGGGGCCGGGGGTGCGCCCGCGGCGCGTGCTCGCGTGCCCATAGGGTTAACATTAGAATCGGCAAAAACACGCTATTGCTCGGGAACGGTAAGGGCTACGGGGGTGAAATTTTCACTGCAAGTCGGACGCGTGCACTCATTTGTCGTATTCAATTTTCGAGGGGGTGGGTTCAGCGGTGTGCACGTGGTGGGGCCGCGACCGGCGCCGAGCAGAGGGCACGTGCCTTAGGCTCAGTTGTTCGCTTAGAAAACTGAGTGAAAAGCATCAGAGCCAACGAAGGCCGACACAAGGCACCGCTCGCCAAGGGGATTCGCCAGTAAATACAATTAATTTGTTTTTGCAATATCTCAGCCGTTTCTGGGCCGATTTAGCTGAAACTTGGACTGTCGGTGGAAGTGTAGTGTAGTGTAGGGTAGGGTAGGGTAGGGGATTGTAGGGTAGGGTTGGGTAGGGGATTGTAGGGTAGGGTAGGGGATTGTAGGGTGGGGTAGGGTAGGGTAGGGTAGGGGATTGTAGGGTAGGGTTGGGTAGGGGATTGTAGGGTAGGGTAGGGTAGAGTTAAGTAGGGTACAGTTAGGTAGGGTAGGGTAGGGTAGGGTAAGGGTAGGGTAGGGTAGGGTAGTGTAAGGGTAGGGTAGGGTAGGGTAGGGTAGGGTAGGGTAGGGTAGGGTAGGGTAGTGTAAGGGTAGGGTAGGGTAGGGTAGGGTAGGAGTAGGGTAGGGGTAGGGTAGGGTAGGGTAGTGTAAGGGTAGGGTAGGGTAGGGTAGGGTAGGGTAGGGTAGGGTAGGGTAGGGTAGGGTAGGGTAGTGTAGGAGTAGGGTAGGGTAAGGGTAGGGTGGGGTAGGGTAGGGTATAAGTAGGGTAGGGTAGGGTAGGGTAGGGTAGGGTAGGGTAGATAGGGTAGTGGTAAGGTAGGGTAGGGTAGGGTAGGGTAGGGGTAGGGTAGGGTAGTGTAGGGGTAGGGTAGGGTAGGGTATGGTAGGGTAGGGTAGGGTAGTGTAGGGGTAGGGTAGGGTAGGGTAGGGTTGCGTTCAGTAACATCCTAACTTACAAAGGGCTCGAACAACTCGCATGCATCACCATCATACTTTACAGTTCAATTAAAAGCAGTTACCCAGTTCTACAAAAATCATACCAATAAAGTTTCTACACCCAGACTAATGCATCCGTTAATCATACATATCAAAACATACAGTTATCGCGTAAACCTGTACCTCTAGTCTATATTATAAATCCTAAATAATCCGCCGCCGCCGCCGCCGTGTGCGACGTAGTCACTTTGTAGCGCTTATTGCGGCGGCGTCTGTTGACCTATGGCCGTGAAATTTTACAGCAATGTGGGCCACCTTTACACGTAGCTCGTATTAAATTTTGGACATGATGGGGCCGGGGGTGCGCCCGCGGCGCGTGCTCGCGTGCCCATAGGGTTAACATTAGAATCGGCAAAAACACGCTATTGCTCGGGAACGGTAAGGGCTACGGGGGTGAAATTTTCACTGCAAGTCGGACGCGTGCACTCATTTGTCGTATTCAATTTTCGAGGGGGTGGGTTCAGCGGTGTGCACGTGGTGGGGCCGCGACCGGCGCCGAGCAGAGGGCACGTGCCTTAGGCTCAGTTGTTCGCTTAGAAAACTGAGTGAAAAGCATCAGAGCCAACGAAGGCCGACACAAGGCACCGCTCGCCAAGGGGATTCGCCAGTAAATACAATTAATTTGTTTTTGCAATATCTCAGCCGTTTCTGGGCCGATTTAGCTGAAACTTGGACTGTCGGTGGAAGTGTAGTGTAGTGTACAGGGTGTCTCAAAAGTTCGCTTACACATTTCCCATGTCAATAAAGCATATAAGAACCGGCCAAAAATTTAAGGTTTTGGTGTCTGTGTGTACACTAGACAAATATGCATGCTTTGACAACTGATTCGGAAGGTTGGAAACCAAACCCTTTGCTGTATCTCCAAAAATATTTGCCCATACCGATTTTCGTCACTCCGTCAGCTGCCGGAGGCTGATAAAAGGTTACCAGCTTTCAAGCTCTTGTAGGGGAATCCCCCGCAGTTTCTGCGTCGGATTTAGGTTTGACGAGCTCCCCGGCAACATCCGCTTCTCCCTGAAAGCCGATAGCTTGCATCGACACCATCCGTGAGTATTTTGTAGGTCTTCTCTGGCGCTAACTCCTTCATGAATGACTGGCGCCGACCTCCCAAGCACCATTTTCCTTTTCAAAACAACCCCATTCCTGAACAAATGGGAAGTGCCAGGGGCAAATTTTTCGCAGCATATCGTAGCAGAATGTGTCGGCCATCTGTTTCTTAGACACATTTTGCAAAATTTGCAAATCCCGAACGCTCGTCATTCCCAATGCCAAGACCTTCGCTGGGTTCCGGAGTGTTTTCCTCAGGAGAGGTTCTGCTTTGTAAACGGCCAAAACCTGTCCATCGTGCGGTTTTGTCCGGATTTTGTGTGTAAAAGAAAGCTATTTGCTCCAGATCTGCCTCTTGAAACTTCGTTAGATAAAACTTTACATTAATTGACACTTTTGGAGGGTCACTTGTCCTCGGCATTGACGATTTTCGCATTATTTTCCCTCAAAATTTAGCGTTATAGATATTATAAACAATTTTAAATGATATTTTGTCTTTATTTTATGATGACCTGCAATTTTTGAAACTGGGTAACCTCTGTCTGTTAGCTTCTAGTCAGTTTTCAATAGTTAGGACTGCATTTTCAGCTGCTTTCCGGAGCACGAGTCTGCTGCGGTACAAGGGTCGTTCAAAGCGCTGTTAGTCTCGCATGGTTTTGTCCTTCAAAAATTTTAGCCACCGTTTTTATTTGATGACCATCATGTTGTACTCATCCTCGCCGACACCTTGCCATGTGTCATTTCCGACCTAACCATTCCCATTACTCGTGAAGCAGAGAGTTTCTCAGCCGACCCGAGT